GAAAACTTCATGAGATATCCATTCATTTAGTCATTTTGGGCTCAGAATGAACTTCGCTTCTACGCAGACCTTCGCCCTGCTTCATTAAAATTCCCACTAAATACTGTACTCATAATTTTGGCCCACCCTGTACAACCATTTGGTCGTCTTCGGTGTTCATTGAGTGTCTCAGGAGATCCGACTGGAGATTGTTCCGCTCCCTTTCATGATGTGAACAAACCGCATTTATCGCCAGTCCGATCCAGGTGGTCTTTGATGAGCTGGGCATGCGGGTGTTCTGAGAGATGCGAAAAGTCCATAAAATTTCGATGCCATGACTTTTTTGTTTTCTGCTTCTCATGACATTATCCCTCAAATCCTGTCATATTACCTATTCAGTCATCTTTGCCATGCCTTATTTATTATTTGTTAATTTATTTATTTGCAAAGCAAGTTATTCATACATTCTATGATGCACCAATATAAATTACTAAGTTCTGCGTGGAACTGACACTGCTACAGAATAATGAGGGAACTTGTACAAAAGTTTTAACAAACTAAAAGTAAAAAAGCCTAAAAAATGGCTAAAAGTAGAAGGTTCAACCAAAATAAAGACTAGAAAAAAATGTTGAAAACTAAATAAGGAAAACAAAGTTGCAGGGACAGAAATGGTTCACTACAATTGTCCCCCTAATTCAATTTTGATTTGATTTCACGATTTCTTATCACATTCCGTAGAGTAGCTGAGAAGAGGACACCTTAAGGTCAAAAAGGCCCGCTCATGAAGGACATTGCCAATACAAAAAAAAAGACTGGTTTTTCGATGTGTGTCCTCTTGCTGAAGACAGAGGAGACTCTAAATGACCAGTGGCGTCAATTCTCAAGAACAGTTCATGGTGTTATAAATCTACACGGTTATAGTCATATAACGTCCTGGCGGCCGACAACCTTCCTTCCGATCTGGTTGACGGATGACATTCCCGAGAAGGTTGCAACATGCGGCACAAATCACAAGAAAAACACGACTTTTCGCAGCGATATTCAAAGATCATAGTTCACACAACCGCTATTCGTCACAACCCACAACGTTACCGAGCAATGCATTGATCACTGGTTATCTTCAGAGATCAGTGGCTATATTTGTTTTGGGCAGACCGACTCGGGCAGCTGGACTCACAATATTAGTTCCTCACGCAGTGATATCTTCCCCTATCGGGTTTTCCGGGGTTACGTCGAATGCTTTAGTTAAGGTTATCTCATTTGGGGTAATTTCACAGAGCTTCAGATAATATGTGCGATAATCTAAGACCTTATGGTAGCCCCGCCTTTACGGGACCATCTCTGAACACAAAGGGCTCTTTCTGATCAGAAAAAAAACTCTTTTTCTGATCAGGAAGAGCCCTTTGTGTTCAATAAAACGCTGACGGCCTGACAATGACGATACGATACGATAAAGAGGAACATACAGCGCTCATTGGTCATAAGACTGGATTCCCCAGGGTTAGCGATTCGTCCATTCGATCTGAGCAGTGGGTCTACTTCAGCTGTTACCGATATAAAAGTAACTTCAAAGCTTTCATCGACGCAGATCAGTATGGCTCCAAGTCACCGAACCCGGAGGTATGGAAGATCTGGTTGGCCTAGGCAGGCAGGCGATCTGGCACTACACCATGCACGCATGAATGCGCCACTTGCCACTACACTAACTCCACTCCGAGGAAAGTAATTAACACTCATTAGGAAAACCAAAAGGATTGAATGGGTTCAGCTATAATAGTAATAATTTTCAGAGATCATTTTGAGGCTATATCTTCAAATTTATAATACTAAACTAGAGTACGGTAGCGTTGGATGAGTAACACAACCTAGCAGATTCCCCAAGAAGACCAATCACGGAAAGTCGCCGATTGTTCAGCGAATACTCCTCAATGTCAACAACAACAACAACCATAAGGCTTTCGCTATCCTGTACAAAACAATGGCAGGCGCAAGTTTTTGATCGTTGAAGGATCTTGGAAAGTTAGCGATGCGATGTTCGAATTCATGAATCAGTAATTAATGACGCCAATCGTCGGAATTGCCTGATCTCTGGACTCTTGTCGCTTGTGACTTGCCACATGGTCACTCTCACGAATAAGATGGATGACAGTCAACGTCCCTTTACAAAGGAACCTTCTTCTCGGTCTTCCCTAGAGGTGCCTGCTTCTTGATCGCCTGCTTTTTTATCTCTTTTCCAGCTTTTCTATTTCTTACGTTTGCTGCTGTTTCCCTCTCCATTTCCCTCTACTGATACAGCGCAAGAATACGATCAAGATTCTCGGCTATCTAGAATAGAACTGGAATGCATGGCGTATCCACGAATGATTGATTCATATTATATATTCAAGTCAATTGATCTTCCTTCGGTACAACTTCGATAAATTTTATAGAAAAGAATCTATAGAAAGAAACTCTTATAAGAATTTCAAATTGACAGTAATCAGTTTAGTATCTCGTGATGAGCTGATTAATCGCTGGGACTCCAGAGTGCGCCATGCTTGCAACCTATCCCCGAAACCATTTTCCTTCATCAACTAATATCAAAAGGAGATGCAGTACGGTGGCAATAGATACCGTAAGACAAGATGTCTGAACTCCTTCCCCTGCTCCTCTCCTTGCCCTTCCCTCATAGTATGACTTCCCCATTGACTTCATTCCCTATTCCCCTACAGAATCAGGTCTATGGAACAAGGTCAAGAGTATTTGCGCTCCAATTACGCATTTTAGCTTTCCTTCAACAAATTCGATGTCCGCAGTCGAATCGATGTCCGGGCTTCATTAATCTATCCTGTGACTGAATTTTGATTGGCACCCATTTTTTAATGACCTTTGTATTTTTATACTAAAATACTACTTTTTGATATTTCCAAGTTTCGGCGGACCGCAATGAGCTCAGAAAACGTAAATAAATGAAGTTGATGGAAAACTTCAAAGCCTGTGACCTTACAGACAGTTTATACGCCTATTACGGACAAAGATCGTTCGCTAGATTGTTGTAGATCTCCGTCAACACTACATCATTGTTTTCCGAGTTGACGTAATTCAGCGAATACCCTCCTCAATAACCACGCGTATAGTAGCCTTTGGAGAATCGCTCAGCGAATGTTGACGCTACAAACCTACTAGAACGATTGCCGTAAAGCGATTGTCATCATATTCTGGACATAAATTCTTTGAAACTAATGAACCCAACTAAATATTTAAACAATATCTAACTTATAAAGAGGGTACAGGCAAGTATTGGGCCAGGAAATACTCCGCCGTACTTCACTGAATCCTTCAGGACCACTCTATGATATACCTAGAAGGATAAAGGATAAAGCTCTTGGTGATAATCAATCCCGACTAAGGGATGAGCCTCCGCATTCGATTTCCATTCGGAATCGCAGTGGCATAGTGAATGCTTATGTGGTCTATACAATGACTTGCGGTGGTCAGCCGATGTACAAGCCAGTGCTTTTATCCTCC